AATCGAAAATAAATACTCAAGACGTCGGACGATGAATATTTTCCAACAACCCAGATTACAACGGCGCCGGTGGTGTAGTGGTAAGCGTGATTACCTCTCACCCCAGCAGGCCTGGGTTCAATCCCAGTCGGCGCCGCCGGGATGTTCTGAGGCATAACATCTCTGATCACGCCTTCCTTCGGATGGGAAGTAAAGCCGTTGGTCCCCGGTTCATGAGTTGATGGGTCGATAGGTAGGGTCCAGGTGTTGGAGCTGCCTTCCTGGCACGTCGGTAGCATTGGTGCTCAGCACGGAAAACAAGATCGACGGAAAAAACAAACCAAAGGAAAAAAAAAAAACAACCCAGATTAAAAAGAAAAGGAAAACGGGGCTTGCAAAACTTTTAACGGTTATGGACTTTAATTAATGAACTTAATGTGAATTGCCAAGGAACTCTAGGATATTTTTAAGGAAAGACTGGTTAGGAAAAGAAGAATTTCAAGGCAGTTGTGAGTGGAATTCAAAGGTTATTTCCAACACAATTCTGTCCAGAAGTCCAAGATAATTTCAAAAAGAATTCCAACAGAGTTTTGAGAATTATAATGAATTTATAAGGAGAATTCCAATGCAGTTTTGAGTGGAATTCAAAGGAAATTTCCAACAGAATTGCGTGTAATTTCAAAGAGATTTCCATAAGATTTCTGAGAATTCTATTAAATTTATAAAAAGAATTCCAAGGTACTGTGACTCGAATGCTATTAGAATAAGGAGAATCTAAAGGGAATTCTGAAGTGGGTTCAATAAAAATTGCGAGGTTAATTCCAAAGAAATTCTAAGGAAATTTCCAAAAAAAATTTGAGGTGAATTACAAAAAAATAGTTACAAGGCTATTCTTGTTATCATTTTTATCATCTCAAAGAAGAGTTTCTAGGGAGGAGCATTAAAGGAAATTTTCGGATAACTGACGAATTTAGAGGAAATTCTGAAGATAATTCCATGGTTTTTTTATGAGAATAATTAGTGATTACTGAGGAGAATTCATTTCAAGAGAATTCTTCGGGGAATTTCTGGGTAATACAGCGAACCCAATTAAGAATTTTAAGAGAATTAGAGAGTGAATCGAAAGCCCTTCTTTAGATAATTTGTAGAGTATTATGAAAGGAATACCAGAAAGAGTTCTAAAACGCACTCTGAGGAAATGTTGGAATGATTCTAAGGAATATTTTGGGAAAATTCTAAAGAAATCCTGTGAAGAGTTCCAAGTTCAAGACCCAAGTTACCAACAAGCCCGCTAATTCTTATTTTTTTGCAATATAAGGCTGATATACGCAGGGCTGGTAGTGAGTCACTTTTTAGAATCTTTCGGGTTGGAAATTTTCACGACTTCCCTGGGCATAGAGTATCATTGTGCTTGCCACACAATATACAAATTCATGCATTGGTATTGGCATCGAAAGCTCTCAATTAATAACTGTGGAAGTGCATTTAGAACACTAAGTTGAGAGCACGCAATAAGCTAATATGCACTGAGCAATAAGCTTGAAATGCGAATAATAATAATAAGAAGTTTGATGTTAGTCGTATAAACGTGAAAACCAGATATTAGATTTAAAAATAAAAATTGTGAGATTGTATACAAGACACGACTGCATGTAGACTACGTTACGCTGTTTAGTGAATTTATCGTATGCATTTTTCTTGATATTGATTTAAAACACAGTAGAAGTAGAACTGACCCTTCTCTTTTTACTTGTTCATTTTTCGAAAGTTTTTTATATAAGATATTGGAAAAGTATTTATTTCAGTATTCGTAGAGTTATTTCCTATCGATTGGTATATTTGGATTTTAATTACATCTATAAACGAGAAAGTTATAAGCGTTCAAAACCTAACACCTTTTCATAACGGTTGCAATTTTAGATTTTCGATTTACCTCCTGTACCTTCTCGTAAGACGTTGTCTACGTCAACAATTGATATCTCATGCTTAGAAAAGTTCTCTTGATTCCGATGGATTTAGAAAAAATTTTCAATCTTCAATCTGGACCATAAGAAGTTTTCAAGATTCAAAATCAACAGAATTATTCTAAATGCTGCGGTACTTCGATTTTTTTTTAAGATTGTGAATTCAAACTAAATCAAGTGTCCGAGACTTTATGCCACTTCAATTTTTTTTTAAGATTTTGAGGAACTTGAACACATTTTCAAAACCTATATGGATTTCTAGATAATAACTATTCCCTACCCGGAAATGGAAATGTGGCTCTATGACAAAAGAATCACCTCGAATAGTCTGCATTTTCCATATCGCATTCGTGCTTGCATGATTTGACTTGCTACATTATTATTTTACTTCAAATTTTACTATGACCTATAGGTAATGCTGCAGCATGGAACCCGACAGAACGTGGAACGGTATAAACAGAAGTGGAAACAGTAGACCCGCATCTTTCGGGAGAAAAAACGCCGCCTGAAAGAAGCGGAGTGCGAGGAAATGGAACTGCTGTGCCGTTCCAAAGAAACACGGAAGTTCTGCTAGAAGCTCAACGCATCCCGCAACGGCTTCGTGCCGCGAGCCGAAATGTGCAAGGATAAGGACGGGAGCCTCTTGACGGACGAACGTGAGATGATTGAAAGGTGGAAGCAGCACTTCGATGCGCACCTGAATAGCGAGGAGAACGTAGGCACGGAAGACCAGCGCAATTGAGGAAACGACTACGTCAGTGCAGCAGAGGACGGAACTGACCCAACTCCCACGCTGAGGGAAGCTAAGGATGTCATTCAGCAGCTCAAAAACAACAACGCAGCTGGTAAGGATGGTATCGCAGCCGAACTCATCAAGATGGGCCCAGAAAAGTTGGCCACCTACCTGCACCGGATGATAGTCAGGATCTGGGAAACAGAACAGCTACCGGAGGAGTGGAAGGAGGGGGTAATCTGCCCCATTCACAAGAAAGGCGACCATTTGGAATGTGAGAACTTCAGAGCGATCACCATTTTGAATGCTATCCCAGATCATCTTCCCTCGTCTATCACCTAAAATGACCGAGTTCGTGGGAAGTTATCAAGCCGGCTTCATCGACGGCCGATCGACAACGGACCAGATCTTCACCGTACGGCAAATCCTTCAGAAATGCCGTGAATACCAGGTCCCAACGCATCATTTGTTCATCGACTTTAAGACAGTATCGACCGCACAGAGATATGGAAAATCATGGAAAATCAACGATGGACGGTGTGCAAAACTGCGTAAGGGTTTCGGGTGAACTATCCAGTTAATTCGAATCTCGCCGGGGACTGCGACAAGGTGACTGACTCTCATACCTACTCTTCAACATCGCTCTAAAAGGTGTAATGCGACGAGCCTAGCTCAACAGCCGGGGTACGATTTTCACGAAATCCGGTCAATTTGTGTGCTTTGCGGACGACATGGACATTATCGCAAGAACATTTGGAACGGTGGCAGAACTATACACCCGCCTGAAATATGAAGTAGGCGGAACCGAACATGACAGGATTCGTCTAGGAAGTAATGTCACGATAGACGGGAATACTTTCGAGGTAGTGGAGGAATTCGTTTACCTTGGATCCGTACTGACGACTGACAACAATGTGCGCATCATCAGTGGAAGTCGTGCCTACTACGGGCTCCAGAAGAAACTACGGTCAAAAAAGATTCCCCCCCGCACCAAATGTACCATGTACAGAACGCTAATAAGACCGGTGGTCCTATATGGACACGAGACATGGACTATGCTCGAGGAGGACCTGCAAGCACTCGGTGTGCAGGAGAACGGTGAGTGGCGGCGAAGAATGAACCACGAGCTCGCTGCACTCTACGACGAACCCAGCATCCAGAAGGTGGCCAAAGCTGGAAGGATGCGGTGGGCAGGGCATGTGGCAAAAATGCCGGACAACAACCCTGCAAAGTTGGTGTTCGCTACTGATCCGGTTGGCACAAGAAGGCGTGGAGCGCAGAGAGCACAGATGGGCGGACCAGGTAGAGCGTGATCTAGCGAGCATTGGGCATGACCGAGGATGGAGAGCGGCAGCCGCAAACCGAGTATTGTGGCGTACTATTGTTGATTATGTCTTATCTTAAATGTGATGTTGTACAAATAAATGTATGTATGTATGTATAGGAACAGATTCCGAAACCCCATGAATCGATGCCAAACCATAAACTGATTTCAATGATCTTACCTTCTCAGTTTGACATGATTTAACATGCAACATGATTATTTTGCCTCGGTTTATGGTTTTCTCAAATATAGTTATATCCTACCGTACCGTATTCCGGGATTCACGAAATCGGATCCCGGAGCCCCGGAGTGGATGCCAATGTGGACTAATGTCAAAGGAATCAGCTCCTCAATTATTACACTGATATGGTTTGACATGCAGCATGATTCGTTTACCTCGAATATTACGATGGCCTATTGGCCGGGGCCCCCAGAACTGTCAATGTGGCCAGATTTCATCGGATATACCATAAACTGATTTCAGAAACCCCATATTCAGTTTGACATGACTTAACATGCCCCATAATATGGCTACTTTGAACGTAATAATGTAATTACAAACCCTATTTTGGAATTCACGGAACGGAATTCAAGAACCGCGGAACTGATGTTAAACTGGCCAAATGTCATCGCATACACCTAAAAATTGTCTTGATTGGCTTGATTCTACCTATCTGGCATGAATTGACAGTTTGGATTATACGATTTCCAGAAATATTACTATGTTTTATAGATCCGGGTTCCATAAATTCCGGAATCGATAATAACGTTGCCAGACATCGTAGAAACGTTTAAATTCAATCCTACTTTCCATATGTCCATCTGATTCGCCTGACAACAACTAGCATTTGTTCGTGTCAAATACTTATCCAGCTACGCCCGCCAGTACTTCGCCTTTTTTCGGTGACCAAGTGCTTAAAAACCTACTCCAAATTTGAAGAATCACCAATTCACCATTCCTCTAATCCAGCCAACCTTTGCTCTCCCTATTGTTTTGCAGGGTGACCTCGAGTCCACCGATGGGCTCGATTCGGATGATTCGTCCACGACGTACAAGCAGGTGGTGGTGGCCGTCTGTGCCATGTCGAAAAAGTCCCAATCCAAACCGATGAAGGAGATCCTGACCCGGCTGCAGGAGTTCGAGTACATCCGGATGATCGTGTTCAGCGAGGAGATCATCCTGAAGGAACCGGTCGAGAAGTGGCCCCTGTGCGATTGCCTGATATCGTTCCACTCGAAGGGCTTCCCGCTGGAGAAGGCCATCCAGTACGCCCAGCTGCGGCAGCCGTACGTCATCAACAACTTGCACATGCAGTTCGATATACAGGTAGTAAGGATCGTGTTATTTTTTTGGTTTTCCGGTGGTGGGTGGTATTGTTTGAAAGGCCGAATATGTTCTTGTCGGTTTTGGATTTCATTTTCAGGACCGAAGGCGTGTCTATTCCATCCTGGAGAAGGAGGGCATAGAGATACCGCGGTACGCGGTTTTGGACAGGGATTCGCCCGATCCGAAGCGTAAGATTTTGAAGGATTTTCCCGGGGTAGGTTTTGAATTTGATGGTTGTAAATTTTTCAGAACACGAACTCGTAGAATCCGAAGATCACGTCGAGGTGAATGGGATAACGTTCAATAAGCCGTTTGTGGAGAAGCCTGTGTCGGCTGAAGATCACAACATCTACATCTACTACCCTACGTCGGCTGGCGGTGGAAGTCAACGGTTGTTCCGGAAGATTGGCAGCCGAAGCAGCGTCTATTCGCCGGAATCGCGAGTCCGTAAGACGGGATCGTTTATCTACGAAGACTTCATGCCGACGGATGGGACGGACGTCAAAGTTTACACCGTCGGCCCGGACTATGCCCATGCCGAGGCCCGTAAGAGTCCGGCTCTCGATGGGAAAGTGGAACGGGATAGCGATGGCAAGGAGGTCCGTTATCCGGTCATCTTGAGCAACGCAGAAAAGTTGATTTCGCGCAAGGTTTGCATGGCCTTCAAGCAAACCGTGTGCGGATTCGATCTGCTGCGTGCCAATGGGAAATCGTTTGTCTGTGATGTGAATGGGTTTAGTTTCGTAAAGAATTCCAACAAGTACTACGACGATTCTGCGAAGATACTAGGCAATATGATACTGCGCGAGTTGGCACCGACTCTGCACATACCGTGGTCGGTTCCGTTTCAACTGGACGATCCGCCCATAGTTCCGACCACGTTCGGGAAGATGATGGAACTGCGGTGCGTTACGGCTATCATCCGGCACGGCGACCGGACGCCCAAGCAGAAGATGAAGGTCGAGGTGAGGCATCAGAAGTTTTTCGAAATATTCGAAAAGTACGACGGCTACAAATATGGGCACATCAAGCTGAAACGACCGAAGCAGCTGCAGGAGATTTTGGACATTGCGAGGTCTTTGCTGTCGGAGATTCAAACCAAGGCTGCCGATTCGGAGATCGAAGAGAAGCAGAGCAAGTTGGAACAGCTGAAGAGCGTCCTGGAGATGTAAGTGTGAGGTTTGAAATTTGTAACGGATTGGTTGAAATTCTCGCTCATTTAAGGTACGGCCATTTTTCCGGCATCAACCGTAAGGTTCAGATGAAGTACCAACCCAAGGGGCGTCCCCGTGGATCGAGTTCTGACGATGGTAAACATCATTCTAGTACGTTGTAATTTGCGTTTTGTTCACGTAGCACATCTCTTTCCTGTGTGTCTCTCTGAATCCGATCTCGGACTTTGTAATGCGCGCCTTCTCTCTTTCGCTTGTCCATTCCGTGCAATTTCCATCTGTTTCGGATGTAAGTCTGTTCGCCTATCCTAATACCCGTTTCCGTATTCTGCTTTGCCTTTTTTTTTTGTTGGTCTCACTGTGGAACAGTAGATGCCCCGAAGGAACCGTCCCTGGTTTTGATACTGAAATGGGGCGGTGAGCTGACGCCAGCTGGGCGCATCCAGGCGGAAGAATTGGGAAGGATCTTCCGCTGCATGTACCCCGGAGGGCAGAGCCGGGACGGAAAGGAAGCTCCCGGGGCGCAGGGATTGGGTTTACTGCGCTTGCATTCGACGTTTCGGCACGATTTGAAAATCTACGCCTCGGACGAGGGCCGTGTCCAGATGACGGCAGCTGCCTTTGCCAAAGGTTTGCTCGCACTGGAGGGAGAACTCACTCCGATCTTGGTGCAGATGGTCAAGAGTGCCAACACCAACGGGCTGCTGGACAATGACTGTGATTCGAGTAAGTACCAAAATATGGCCAAATCGCGACTGCACGAACTGATGCAAATCGATCGCGATTTTACGGTGGAGGATCGCGCAGCGATCAACCCTGGCAATGCCATCAGCATCAATTTGGCGATGGATTTTGTTAAGAATCCGGTCAAGTGTTGCGCACACGTCCACTCGCTGATTCAATCGTTACTGGGGGTCGTCGCCGTGAAGCGGGATGACCTCAAAACTAGAGACGCGGTACTGTATCATGGAGAAACTTGGGAACTGATGGGTCGGCGGTGGGGAAAAATCGAGAAGGATTTCTGCACAAAGAACAAAAACTTCGACATTTCCAAAATTCCGGACATCTACGACTGCATCAAGTACGATCTGCAGCACAATCAACACACGCTTCAGTTCGATTTGGCTGAAGAGTTGTACATCTACGCAAAGTACTTGGCCGACATTGTGATCCCACAGGAGTACGGTTTGACCGTACATGAAAAACTGACAATCGGACAGGGTATTTGCACGCCACTGTTGAAGAAGATCCGCGCCGATCTGCAGCGCAACATTGAGGAAGCTGGAGACGAGAGTGTGAATCGACTGAATCCCCGCTACAGCCACGGAGTATCCAGTCCGGGCAGGCACGTCCGAACGCGGTTGTACTTTACCAGCGAAAGTCACGTCCACTCGCTGTTGACCGTGCTCCGGTACGGCGGACTGCTGAACATCCTGACCGACGAACAGTGGCGCAGGGCCATGGAATACGTTTCGATGGTCTCCGAATTGAACTACATGTCGCAGATTGTGATCATGCTGTACGAAGATCCGACCAAAGATCCCTTCTCGGAGGAGCGTTTCCACGTGGAGCTGCATTTCAGTCCCGGGGTGAACTGTTGCGTGCAGAAGAACTTGCCGCCCGGACCGGGCTTCCGGCCACACAGTCGGAACGATTCCGTCACGTCCAAAAATGCGGTAGGAATTTTTGGGTAGCCGATCGGAAGTGTACGTTAGGGAATAATGGTTTGTCTTTTCGCATGAATTTCAGAGCGGCGACGAAGAAAGCACCTCCCGAATCGACGAGGAAAACGACACCGAGGAGGAAAATTCCAACGGTTCCAGCCAAACGATGTCCAAAGAAAGTGTAAGTCATGCTTTAGGTTCATGTAATCACTTTAGATAGGAGGCTTCTGGGGTAACGTTGGGTAGCACTTTTAAGAGGACGTACAAATACAAAAGAGGTTGTCAGGTCAGAACAAATCTCATGTATATTGAAATTCAATGGCCATGGGAAGTTCAAAGCTATACTAAGTAAAAGTTTAAAGACTCCATAACATTAACTTGAATGATACTAGCCCAAATATGGCCTTGCCACGAGTTTCCTAGGTCTTTAAAATTTTGCTAGTTAGGTAGGTGTCTTTATTTTTTTCTAACTCTGTCTTTACAAGTCCCGGAATTCTATGTTCAAGTTTTCTTATTTTTTTTCTCTAGATCTCTAGATCTTGATTATTTAAGGTGTGGATTTCATCATTTTTCGATGTTTATTTTTATCAAATAGGGTCAATCAAATTTCGCAATGGTTAGAAGACTTTGTGTTGTACGAGCTGAAATATCCAATTGATCCGGATTTAGGACCACCGCAATAACAGTAACCTCTTCTTCTCCCTCCAGTCTTTTTCCAACGCCAGCAAAAACAAGGAAAAGAAGCTGAGAAAGGTCAAAACATCCGAGCCCATTCCGATCGGATCGTGCCATACCGTTTCCGGACACGAAGCCATGGACCTGGCGAAGCGACTGAGCGAAGAGCTGGCCGCCCAGCAGCAGGCCGGCAACCAGCGGCCCATCAGTCCGGACGAACCCCGCGCCGCTCGATCGTTCGAGCATGGTGGCAGACACAGCCGAATGAAAGGTTAGTACCGCCCCATATCGAAGAAAATTATCCTCTTCTGTTTTCGTACTTCACAAACACTACACACGCCGCTCAATGCCTTCAACCACAACCTTTTGACCTTCTTCTAGCTGCCTTCCTGTTTGCGTAACGTAACTGCCCAAACTTAGCTAATTCCACCACCCACAGTCGGCGGAAATCGGTCTCGCGAAACCATTCCCTCCTCTTCCGGTTTGATACGTGTTTCCGTGGGTTGTGCTAAATTACCCCGAACGCCATCACCCACCCCGAATGACCCCTTCCTCGAATGAGATTCTGCCTTCTTTCGATTGCTGCTTGTTCTGTTTACATTCGCGGTCATGGAATTCGGGCAAACGGCATCAGGGGCAATGTAGCACAATCGTTTCCGAGTTGTAGTAGTAGTGCGCTCTGTCTAATTAGGCCAATAGATACCTATGAGACCAACAACCCACTAACTCAATGTCTCATTTTCAAATTTCGTTTCATTTCATATTGGCGTGTGACCCACCCTCCTCCATCCATGCCCCACAAACCACAAACACACATTCGAATCGACAAATCGTGAAACATCGCGTGGAACGCGGCTACACACTACCATTTCTGTACATACATGTGTGTCTCTGTGTGTGGGTGGGTGGGTGGTTGCGTGCGTGTGTATGCGCGTGTGCTTGCTGCTTTCCTTCATCCCATGCCATGATGACCCTCCGGGTCGTGTAGATCACACGCGCTACTGTCACAGCCTACAGGCCGTTAACAATCAAGGTAATGTTTTTTTTTATTAAGTATGTCCTTATTTAGTGTACAGTACCTATTTCAGTTAGTTCGTTCCCTTGTCTTTTTCCCTGTACAGTTTTGTATAATTTTTAACTAAACTATGTTGTGTACCCCTTTTTGTGCTAGACGCAGCTATTTTTGTTCTGTATCGATAACATTCGGCTAGTGTAGGCTGATTAGGTTGTGATAGCACGCAATGAGCGTAATTTTGCGTGCCGAAGATATTTGAGTAGATACGACCGGTTACAATACTCCTCCTGCATATATCAGCTTTCGAAAATTGTTTGAACCTCAAATCTTCTCAAATCCTAGCTCCCACTGTAAACGGAAATTTAAGGTAAACCTGAAAGGAAGCCTTGTCTTGAAACTTTAAGAGCACTCATACATACAGTGATGAAATTGCAACAACTTATGATCCTTCGGTTCCGAATGTCACGATTTAACGATTTACTATGGAAAGACTGACGATCAAGTGGAGCTCGCTCTTCGAGAAGATGAAGTGCGACCTGAATGCGGCGAAATGCGCGCAGAACCAGAGCGCTTCACTTTGTGGGGTTAGGAAACCCCTAGATTGGATACACCCAGCTCGAAAACAACTCAACTATATCTACTCGCAGTAAGATAGCTTTTTAGAATTTCTCTGAATTTTTGGATTTTCGCAGAACTTATTTCAAGAACTTTAACTATTCTGAAGTTCCCGCCACTTCTTGGAAGTTCTCGGCACTTCTTGGAAGTTCTCAGCACTTTTTCGAAGCTCTTAAAGTTTTTGAAACTTCTCAAAAGTTTACGGAAATTTTTCCGAAGTTCTTGGAGTGTATCTGAAGTTCTCGGGGCTTGTCTGTTTTTGAAACTGAAATGTTTGGAACTTCGATTAAATTCTTGAAATTTCGCTACACTTTTCAGACCTTATCTCAAGTTCTTCAAACTTCGCAGAAGCTCGTGGATCTTTTTTTTCAATGATTTGTTTTCCATCGATCTTCCATCACTTCACCCGTGATGAGAGATTTTAAAAATCTAAAAATCCCGACGGCACCGACTGGGATTAAACCCAGGCCCTTTGGAGTTACGCTTATCGGCGACGCTTCAAGGAAAAATTCTGAGAATCTCAACGAAGATCCGATAATTCAGCGAAATTCCTAGATCGTCAACAAAGTTCCAAAAATGTAGGCTAGGTTCTAAACTCCAGCGAAGTTTTAAAAATTTCAGAGAAGTTCCAAAAACGTCAGCAAAGTTTATATGAACGACGAAAAAGCTTTGTTTAACAAAACTTGTGTTTCCACGTGAACCGCCATGCAAACCAGTACCACTATCGGAGAGGGGAGAATTTCTCCTACCCGCTGATGTTGTTGGTTTGCGTGGGCGTACTTCGGTTCGCGACTGATGGGCCTTATACCCTTTGTTTACCAAAGCTTTTGTTCGTTTTCAAATGCTACGCGAGATATCTTTTTAAAAGTTCAAGAAATTCAGCGACGGTCCAACAGCTTCAGCGAAGTTCCAAAAATATAAGAGATAACTCCTAGAAATTCCAAGAACTTTGGAGAAGCTCCGTTAACATTGGAGAAGTATCTCCAAGAAATGTAGCGAAGATTGAAAGACTTGAGATAAGCTCCAATAAATTCAACAAAATTCCAAAATTTAGCAAAGTTTGAAAAATTTCAGCGAAGTTTAAAACACTTTAGCGTAGCTCCTAGAAATTCAGCGAAGTTCCAAGAACTTCAAATAAGCTTCTAGAACTTCGGAGAAATTCTATGATATTATCTTCCGGGGAGGCATCGATTTGCTGACGAGCATTCATTAGCGCCATATGTTAGGTTATCTTGCGACTTGGAGAATTTCAAGCCGAACATAAGGTATAAGGTCCTAAGTAACATTGATCGATTCTTTTCATCGACTTTATCTTCCGTTAAATGTTCGGCTACTAAAACGTTTCCTGCCGTGTACCTTCTTTTGAGCTGTATGTTGAAAACAGTAGGAAATGCCTTTACATGTCCGTGGGAGTTCAAAGAGAAAATTGATCAATGTTACTAAGAACCTTATCGATTGTTCTGATTCAAAGATAGCGTCAGACATCCATCTTTTCGCCTCTAAACGTCATCCCGATTCCAAAAATACCCATATTGAAGGGTATTTGACCAGTTTTTAAATAACTAGTTGCCGCCATCTTGCATTTCAAAATGGCATCATACATCGATTTTCGGCCGCTATACGTCATCCCGATTCCAAAAATACCCATATTGAAGAGTATTTGACAGGGTTGCCCAGTTTTTGTATAACTAGAAGCCGCCATCTTGGATTTCAAGATGGCGTCAGACATAGATTTCCGGCCTCTACACGTCATCCCGATTCCGAAAATACCCATATTGCAGGGTATTTGACAGTATTGCCCAGTTTTTGCGTAATCAGAAGCCGCCATTTTGGATTTCACGATGGCGTCAGACATCGATTTTTGGTCGCTAGACGTCATCCCGATTCCGAACATACCCATATTGAAGGGTATTTGACAGGGTTTCCTAGTTTTTGTATAACCAGAAGCCGCCATCTTGGATTTCAAGATGGCATCAGACATAGATTTCCGGTCTCTATACGTCATCCCGATTCCGAAAATAACCATATTGCAGTAATTTCACTATTTCCCAGTTTTTAAATAACCAGAGGCCGCCATCTTGGTTTTCAAGATGGCGTCGTACATCGATTTCTGGTTTCTGGAGGTCATCCCGGTTCCGAAAATACTCATATTAAAGGGTATTTGACATTATTTTCCGGTTTTTATAAAACCGGAACCCGCCATCTTCGATTTCAAGGTGGCGTCAGATTTCCGGCCTCTACGTTATCCCGATTCCGAAAATACCCATATTGAAGGGTATTTGACAGAGTTTCCCAGTTTTCATATAACCAGAAACTGCCATCTTGGATTTCAAGATGGCAAGATGGCGTCAGACATAGATTTACGGTCTCTATACGTCATCCCGATTCCTTCATTCCTTTATTTAACGTCGGTCTCTGTTCCGCAATCTAGTGCCAAACTCTGACGGACATCGATTGCCATCAATTGACGGTAATCGAATGTGCAGGAAGGTAGCTTCCACACCTGCGTAGGATATCGCAACCATTCAACAAACATGGCTCGGGCCCAACGGCTATTATCCCGATTCTGAAAATACCTATCTTGAAGGGTATTTGACAGTATTGCCTAGTTTTTGTATAACCAGAAGCCGCCATCTTGGATTTCAAGATGACATCAGACATAGATTTCCGGTCTCTACACGTCATCCCGATTCCGAAAATACCCATATTGCAGGGTATTTGACACTATTTTCCAATTTTTAAATAACCAAAAGCCGCCATCTTGGTTTTCAAGATGGCGTCGTACATCGATTTCTGGTTTCTGGAAGTCACCCCGATTCCGAAAATAATCATATTAAAGGGTATTTGACAGTATTTTCCAGTTTTTATAAAACCGGAAACCGCCATCTTGGATTTCTAGATGGCGTCAGACATCGATTTCCAGCCGCTAGATGTCACCGGTGGACATGGTGAATGAAACTGATTGCAGCGTAGTGGCGCCGGGTAAAAATGTTGCCCCTACTTGTACACGCTCAACACTCCTCCTCAATATGTTTCTCTGCTTCCGGTCCAGCTCGCAACTTTCGTCAGCCCCATGGCTTCCGCAAACTTCCTCTGCTTCACGGGTCCTAACGGCTTCGTGAGAATGTCGGCCGTCTCCGAAGGGCAGAATCGCAGATTAACTACACCTTTCTCGCACATATCCGTCGTGTAGAACATACAGGTGTCAATGTGTTTCGACCTGCGCGAAGCACGCTCCATCTCGACGAACTCGATACAACTCCTGTTATCTTCGAACAACACTCCTCCAAAATCCGTCGCAGCCAAACAAGATCTTTGCACGCTTCGGACACTGCGACATATTCCGCCTCCATACTGGAAAGCGAAACACTAGTCTGCTTTCAACTGACCCAATTGATAGATGCTTCACCGAGTAAGAACAGGTATCCCGTATTAGACTTACGGTCGCTCGTATCCCCGTTCCAATCCGCGTCACAGTATCCACTCAAGCGCAGTGGTTTACCGCGTTCTGCATACAGCCGCAACTTGCTGCTACTGGTCTACACGAGATACTTTACTACACGCTTTAATTCACCCCAATCTACGACAGGGTAATCTTCTTCCGCCGCTCGTTCTCAACAGCAGATACATCCTGTTCGGTC